AAAACATGACATCACAACAGTAAAATGTTCTCTTGCATTAAATTGAAGACATCTGTTGACTTAGATCTGTTACTTTGTAAGTTCAAAACACCCTATTTCCTTGTTCTCTATCAAGAACAAAAAATAGTATTTGTCATGCAATGAACCTATCATTATAGATAAAACTGGTGCAAACTGGTCCAACAGATCTAACAAACACTGATGTTGAGCTAGGGATTAATATTTAAATAGTGGTCAATAGAGAGTTTACAAGATTTTCCATTTTGTCTTGCTTTTTTTTCCCCTAGCATTGTTGAAGATTTCTGTTGTTCTGAAGTGTGCTTTTGAGCTCTCCGGTTGCCTTTCTCCTCCCCAGATGGACTCTATTTTTCCTCTCATTCTTTGGGCTTCCAAATTATTTGTCATCTGCTCATGGCCCCATGGAAGCTCAGCCTTGGAGTCTTTCCATTGTTAGAGAGCCTTTTATTGACCATCATCTCAAACACCTGCTCCATCTTTCCACATCATTTTCTTCATCTGGCCTATAAAAGCTTCCTTCTTTCTTTCTCTATTTGTGTCAGAGGGCTTTTAATAAGCCATCCTTAATTCTTGTTGTTACCAACTCCATTAAGTCCCAGGTGCCAGTTTTCTGTTTCCATACTTCTTATAGTATCCTTAGTAACATTCTTTAAAGCCTGAATGTGTTCTTAGCAACATATTCCTTAGAATTGTAGTTATAATTTTAAACTTCAGCCATTTTAAACTTCAGCCACACCCCAGTGATACTGCCTTCTTCTGACCCTCTTGCCTTTAACTTCAATGATAGCATTACAATCTACCACAACAAGAAGTAAAAGATCCTTCATCTTTTTAAACAGCTTATTTTGTTCTTCATCATCTGTTTCTGGAAATTCATATATTTTAATTTTACGTTCTTGGATTTCTTTCACTATCTGGTTTTTTTGCGGCGGGGGGGGCTGGGGTTGAACTGTTGGCATTCATCTGGTGTGAGCATGTCTGCTTTGGCAATTGGGATAATATTCACTTTTTATGCAAACCTCTTATAAATTCAATATCAAATGGTTTAAGTCCATGTCCTGGAGGAGCACTGTACACTGTTTTCAGACATCCAACATTTGTTTACTCAAGATTCTGCATTTAGGAAATTCTGAATTTAGTATTAATGGATCAGATTGCTAGCAATTACTATTATTATCCACAGCACCTCCCAAACCTGGAATATTAGCTATTGTGAGCAGCAATTGAACACCATCTTTTTTTTTGGTGGGGGGGAGGTCCGGTCGTGGGGCCTGAACTCTGGGCCTGGGTGCTGACCCTCTACCACTTGAGCCACAGTGCCACTTCCGGCTTTTTTCTTTTGGCTTATGTGGTGCTGAGGAATGGAACCCAGGGCCTCATGCATGCAAGGCAAGCACTCTACCACTGAGCCACCTTCCCAGCCCCCCTCACTTTTTTAAATTAAAACTGTGGATTGATCCACCTGTACAGTCTTATGTCTATGAGGAATAATAACCTGATTAATGTTGATTCTCCCAATCCACATTCACCTAATATAAATGGGAATTCAAACCCTGTCTTCATTGATTTTCTGTAGACCTTGAGAGATGGGCAAATTCTACATGGTTTTCTTCTGCTGAGCTACCATGGCACTGTGGTTGATGATTCTCTCCTAAGCAGCAGCAGATCTAACACTGTAGACTATAATTATTATCTTTTTTTTCTTTTTTTGCTGGTTGTGGGGCTTGAACTCAGGACCTAAGCACTGGCCCTGAGCCTCTGTGTGCTCAAGGCTAGTGCTCTACCACTTGAGCCACAACACCACTTCCGGTTTTGTTTTGTTTTGTTTTGTTTTGAGTGGTTAATTGGAGATACGAGTCTCACCGGGACTTTTCTGGGCTGCCTTCAAACCATGATCCTCAGCTCTCAGCCTCCTCAGTAGGTAGGATTACAAGCGTGAGCCACCAGCACCCGGCTATAATTTTTATCTTACAATGTCTTCATCTAGCTTTATTATCAGCTTAATGCTGAACTCATAAAATGAGTTGGGAAATAGTCTCTGGGCATTTTTTTGGTAGTTCTTTAAATGCTTGGGAAAATATAGCTATAAAGCCATCCAACAGAAGATTTGTATTTTGTGGTATGGGATATTCTGTATATATTTGTTAGGATCCTTGGTCTAAAGCATAAGCAAAATCTACATTTTCTTTGCTTATTTTCTGACTAAATAATCTGCGTTGTCGAAAGCAGGAAATCAAAGTGCCCTTCTAATATTGTATTGCAGTTTGTCTCTCCCTTCAGATTTATTAATTTTGCTTTATATATGTCCATGCCTTAATTGAGGTGAAATATATATATATATGTATGTACATATACATATATACATATATATAGCATCTTCTTGCTTATTGTCCCTTTATTTTTACTAATTTCTTTTGTCTCTTTTAACAGTCTTTTACTTAAAGTTTAACTGATACAAGTATAGCAACACTGCTCTTTTGGTTTTCATTTGCAAAGAATATTGTTTTTCATCTCTATTTTCTAAATTCAGTCTTAAAAGTGAAGTACATCATAGTTGTGTCTTTTTTAAAAAATCCAGTCAGTCAATGTTTATAGAATGAATTTAATCCATTTATATTTGAAACAATAATTTGAGAGCTAAGACCTTTTACTACTATATTTTGTTTGTTGCTCTCCGGTGATTTTTGCTCCTGTCTTCCTATTTTACTCTATTCTAAAGGTTCTGAAGTTAAAGGCTTTGAATCTTTTCCTTTCATTTTTTTTGTGTATCAACTAAATGTTTTCTTGTTTTGTGATTACTGTGAGGCTTTTATAAAACAGTAAGTTCTATACTTTTGTAGTTGTCTTTTCTTCAGCTTGAAGAAGTTGCTTGGCATTTCCTTTGTTTGTCAGCCACTATTTGTCAGAGAAAAGTATTTCTTCTTCATTTTGGAAGGACTTTGATTCTGAATAAAGTACTCTTGGATTATAGGATTATTTTTTTTCCTCTTAGCACTTGATAATCTCCCAGCCCATAAAGTTTCTGCAGGGAAATCTACTAACCTAATTAATAATATTCCATTGTATGTGGCTAAGCCATAAACTTTTTATACTTACCCACTGATATCCACTGTATCTTTTTATTAAAATGCATATTTCCTTTTCTTAATGATAAATAACTAATAATGGGATGCCTGTGGCTAAATTATGGATGTATGATAAAAATCAATGAGAATTTTTCAAATTCATTTAAACCATTTTTCTTTCCCAGGATCAATGGGAATCTATCTATCTATCTATCTACACATATATTTGTTGTAGTGGGACTTGAACTCAGGGCCTGGGCACTATCCCTGAGCCTCTTTATGCTCAAGGCTAGTGCTCTATCACTTGAACCACAGCACCATTTCTGATTTTGAGTGGTTAATTTAGGTAAAGGTCTCACAGGGACTTTTCTGCTTGGGCTGGCTTTGAACCACAATCCTCAGATCTCAGCCTCCTGAGTAGCTAGGATTTACAGACATGAGCCACCAGTACCAAGCAATATTTTTAATTATAGCCATTCTATTACTTATGTACAGGCATCTCATTTCATTTTTAATAAATAATGTTCAACATGTTTCCATGTTCTTATGTCTCATCTGTACTTACTTGAGATATTTTTGGGAAAATGTTTGCTCAAATCTTTCTCTTTTTGGAAGATAAGACCTACTAAAGTTTGGACTCAGAACCTTGTTGCTGTTACCAGGTTGGTGATCTACCCATTGAGCCACATCTCTATCCCTACTTTTTGCTGCTTATTTTAGAGGTAGGATCTCATGAACGTTTCTGGTCCTTGGTTGGTTTTAAACTTCAACCCTACTCTAAATCTCAACCTCTGTTACCTAGGAAAACAATTACAAGCCACTAGTGCCATGTTCTTTTTCCATTTTTATTGTGTTCTTTGCTTTATCCTGGTTCAGTCTGGAAAGCCTTGAAAATGCAGTCTGTATATTAGTAGATTCTATTAAATTTACCATTTGGAAAGATTTCTTCCCAATCTTTGATTCATCTTTTTTGCTAATGATGCCTTCTAGAGCAGAAGGGTTTTTTTTGGTGGTAGTGGTCATTGTTGTTTAAGCCTAATTTATCAGTTTAGTTCTTTATGGTCAATAGTATGTTGGCATCATATTTACTTCCTCAGTGACCACACCCAGAACAAGACTTTTAAAAAATCATCTCAGTCAATCAAAACAACTGCAATCCAGTTCACACATGCGTTAAAAGTGTCTATGAGTAGACAGCTGAACAAGATGGAAGGAAAAAACACGTTTTCAATTTTCATGGATCCAAGACAAGCATAATCATTTCATTTCTCCTCACCAGATGATCTGTTAGAATACTTATGTGGTCATAGAAGGGACAATTTGTCCCTGGCAGGTCCAAAGAATGCTTAACTTGGGACTGTTTCCTGGGGTGGTCTAAATCCACCCTTCGCGGCTCTTGTCTCCTATAATAACCGCTATGCAATGGTTTATTAAAATAGGCGTTTCTTCAGACATTGGTACATAAAACTATTTAAGAAAGTTATGTCTTTCACAAATAAGAAGATGGGGAAAAAAGAGACATTTAGAAATGCTTTATTTCTATGGCTTTCCAACCAAAGTCTTAATCATATCATTTCAGTGTGGTCAGTTATAATTAAACAGAAGAGTTCACCAAGCCACAGACACTGATCTAGCCTTTTCTTCCCCCTGCAAAATAAGGGAAATTCTGTATTAAGTACTACCCAAATAAATATGTGAAGGGGTAATAGGCCTATTACTTTATATCAGAAAAATGTGAGATAAATCAAGAGATCTTTGAATTCACCTAAAGTTTTGTTCCAGTATTTTAAAAATAAAACTTCTTTATTCTGTCACTTTATTTTTTAGGAAAATTAATAGTACTTTTTAGGATCAATATTTGTGAAGACTCAACATTATATTTAACTTTGTCTGAATTTTCTTGTTACCTGAAGTAATTTAAACTCCCAAAGCAGCACGAGTTTTTGAAATCAGTTTTGGACCCTGAAAATTAAGAACAAATAAACATAATCAGACAAAGGATGATTGTGTTAGATCTATAGGCGATTCCCCACCATCTGAGGTGAACTCAAATAGATAAATTAAAACTAAATGAATTCCAGAAAGGTGTCACTCCTATCAACATTCCAGGATAATGGGAACCAGAAAGGAAACTTTACTCAGATGAACAGATTTTATTTCTATATCAATCACAAATCCCTGTCTGCCCTCATCTACCTCTCCCTGCCTCTCCAGTCATAAGTTATTAGGAATTAAAAGTCAGAGAAAGCACTAGCAATATTCACTAATGTTTTCTAGATCTCAATGTCTCTTCAAATCAGAGAATGTGCATCTTTTTATATCATATTTATCAGAAATATATTAAAATATGTTTTATTTTATTCAGTTGTCTGTCTGTGGCTCCCATTTTACCCCACCCTAACCACACTCATACTGATAAGGCCACCCACCCCAAAACACTTAATTATATCATTTACAGGAAAAAAAATATAATCTGGTTTTAGGTTGCATATAACAAAGCATACAAACTTTAACATCATAATAAATTTAAATAAAATTGACAAGAATATTGAGTTCATAGAGAATCTTTTAAAAACAAAGAGATGTTATACTCAGGTGTACTTAGGTTTGATTCATCAGCACCACATAAGAAGTAAAAGCCTGAAGTAGCCGTGACTCAAGTGGTAGAGCGCTAGCCTTGAGCTGAAGAGCTGAGGGACAGCGCCCAGCCCAGAGTTCAGGCCCCACAAACGACAAAAAAAAAAAAAAATTCAGGTAATTAGATTGATTATGGTAATAATTTTACAACCTGTATGTATTTAAAATATGTTGTATACTTAAATAGAGGCAATTTTTAATTTTCAAAAAGGCCTCACACTCTGGCTTTCACTCAGCTTTCTGGTTCATGGTTAGCGCTCTACCATTTTAACCAGGCCTCCAGCCTGGCTTTTTGCTCATTAATTGTAGACAGAGTCTCACAGGCTTTTCTGTCCAGGCTGGCTTTGAATCTGGATCCTACAGACCTCAGCCTCCTGAGTAGCTAGGATTCCAGGTGTGAGCTACTGAAACATGGCTACCCCACATATTTTGAACTTGAACATGGGCTATCCCCACCTCTTCTGCGAAGCAGACTTCCTGCTCCTGGCCTCGGCAACACTTCTCCAGAAGGCCCGAGAAATCTGCAGTGACGGCTTCGTGCTGCTCCTCTGTCATTTGGGGCTTTTGCCTCACAAGGCTAATGAGAAGCCTATGTTTTAAAAACAAAACAACACACAAGAGAAGTCCATTATATATTTTTTCAGAACCTTCTGAATAGAGAATTTTCAGAGCACTGGCACTCTACACCCTAAAGCATCACTCACCGCACCAGGCTTAGCACATCCTGCTGGTCTAAAGAACTTCCAGCAGCAAGACTGAGGCAGGGAAACAGGCCAAGTCTCCACTGGCCTACCTGGACTCCCGCAGATCATAGACGAAGCACTGGCATGCTCCCACAGCCCTCCCTTACTTGTCTAGAAGAGCTTGTCCCATTCATTCTCCAAGGCCCAGATTTCCACGCCACCATTATCACACCTTTATCTAGAAATGGCAGCACCAACTGTGGGAGGAGATAAAGGAGCGGGGGAACTGGAGCACAATCCAGGACTTCGCACATGCCAGACAAGTGCACTACCACAGAGCAACAGCCCCATCTCCTGCCCTATTCATTCAGCTTTCATGTTGACTTAATGTTGACAGGCCAGCAAGGGAAGTGTACCTGAGAAGGCAGCATTCCCATTACACCTGGAAACATACCTCAGATTGGGATGGAGAAAATGTGGAGGAACAAGTTTTCCAATGAAGGGAGTCCACTTACCAAGCAAGTAAGGATGGAGATGCATGCGTGTTTGGAAAACCCCATCAACTTGTATTACCGTGGCCATTGTACAATGGTGTCTACTACCATTGTATAATGAAATGTGTATGTCATTGTACATTGACTTGAAATGTGTATTTCACGTCTTGACGCCCAGGCTGCATGGTTGGATCAAATATGATTATTCTCTTTATAAAAGCATAGTGTTTAAATAAAAGGACTTAATGTGGTCCCTATGTTTGCAATGGAAGCAACCAGATCCACTGAAAAGAAATGCCCTAATACTCCAGATCAAGATTGTCAATTTTCCCTCAATCCCAAATACATCATAACGATAAACAACATAGGATAACTTTTTGGTTTTGGTCGGTTATGGGACTTGAATTATGACCTGAACATTGTCCCTAAGCTCTTCAGCTCAAGGTTTATGCTCTACTACTTAAGCCATGGCACCACTTCCTGTTTTCTGGTGATTAATTAGAGATAAGAGTCTCACAGACTTTCCTGCCTGGGTTGGCTTTGAACCATGGTCCTCAGATCTCAGCCTCCTAAGTAGCTAGGATTACATGCGTGAGCCACCAGCCCCCAGCAAGATAACTTTTATAAACAGAAAATTGTCTGCCCTCACAAATGTTTCCAGACATACTTTCCAATAAGGCTGTGAGAATACTTAAACAGAACTTTTTTTTTTTTTTGTCGGTCATGGGGCTTGAACTCTGGGCCTGGGCACTGTCCCTCAGCTCTTCAGCTCAAGGTGAGTTTTCAACCACAGAACTATTTTTAAAAGAAACCTTTTTTTTTTTTTTTTTGGTGGTGGTGGTGGCTAATTAGAGATATGACTCTCTCAGACTTTCCTGTCCAACCTGGCTTCGAACCAAGATCCTCAGATCTCAGCTTCCTAAGTAGCTAGGATCACCAGTATAAGCCACCAATGCCTGGCTCAAAAGACATCTTAAGTGTTTGGAGGACAATATTCTAATAGTCCCAAAGTGTTAGATGTGTAAGGCAGACAGCTGCTCCTTGATATTGTCCTTGTCGGATTTCTCCATGCTAGAAAATAACAGTACTTACTCTTGCTTCATTGTTTGCAGTGCTCTGCCCTGAGCTTGGCACAGATCCTTGTGGAAGATGAATTTGTCATCCGAGAATGGTGGAGGAACGTAAGTGTCATCCACTGTCAGGCTGGAGAAGCAGGGCCTCCTGTTCGCATATGCAGAATCACAGCATCTGCCAACACCAGGGTTCAGGGGAGTTGCTGCGTGTCTGATACATAACTGTCCAATAATGAGGTCAGCCTAGAGAGGAGGAGAAGAAAGCAAGCAGGGTTCTCATCAGCCACAAGATGGTTCCGGTTTCCAGAAGATAATGTGCAGTCATTTTCAATATCCAGCAACTTATATTTAATTGTGTGTTGCCATAGTATAGAGGGCAGAATCTCCCCCTTTGTTAGAGATAAACCTTAGCATGCTAACGTCGCCCATGCTGCCCTTAGAATGTAAAGTGGATCCTATAGCTTTGAAATGCTATAGCTATTGTGCCAGCTATTTGAAACATCCTTCCAAATTTGGGGGTTGGGGGGAGTAATGTCTCAGCCCTGGCCCATGAAGATAAATAAATGGCTTGTTAGAAAACAAGCCATAAATAGTTAAAGTGGTATAACTATTTAAAATTTACTAGTTAAAAATGTACTTTTGAGATACAGAGACTTATTTTCTAAAAGTAAGATTAGCATAAGTCTAAGTGCATAATATCATTTTACTATTCAGAGCCTGGAGCTTACCTTATTCTGTATTCTATACAGAGAAAGACAAATTGCCCCTAAAATTGTCACAATAAGGTTATACTACAACATCCATGTTAATTTGTAATTGTAATTTATCAATCGTGAAGCTATTTCTATTTTAATATTTTTTAAAATTCCATCGTTTATAAAAGAAAAACCAAAATACTGAGTGCGAATGAGTATCTTATGTACAGCTGATAGGAAAGAAACAGGGCCAGTGTGTAAGGTATGTATGACTGTATGTGTTTTCAAGGTTTTTCTAAAGTAGAATGTTCTACGTTCTACACTTCATAATAACTTTTAATAAGTGTTAACATATTTGTGCATACTTTCAGGCTAATGCAATTCAGCACAATTTTTCTATGATAACAGTACAATTTTTATTGTCAAATGTCGGATGAGAAAAGCTCAAATTCAATGGCAGTATCTTTTCCAGTGAGACATGAATAGTAAGTGGTGAAAGCAGGTTCTAGAATGTAGTCTCCAGAACCTACACTAGCAATCATTCACCATCTGCATCCCTGAGGCCTAGTTAAGCGGGAAAAACAAAATCCAATCAATAATAAAAATAATATGAGGCCCAAGGAACTTCATCTTTGGAGAAAAATTCCAAGACAAGTAGACAAAATAAAAAATAATCCAATCTGTAATTCTGCCTACATGAGCAACTAGGCAGGAACATTAATTCACTGAAAGTCATTTTACTATTCAGAGCCTGGAGCTTACCCTATTCTGTACTCCAAACAGAGAAATATAAATTGCCCCTAATATTGTCACAATCAGGTTATACCAAAACATCCGTGTTAATTTGCCATTGTAATGTATCAATAATGGAGCTATTTCTATTTTAATATTTTTTAAATAGTGGTTTAAAAATAAAACCAAAATACTGAGTTGGCATAATGGCCCACAATCAGGTTATACCAAAATATCCGTGTTAATTGTAATGTATCAATAATGGAGCTATTTCTATTTTAATATTTTTTAAATAGTGGTTTAAAAATAAAACCAAAATACTGAGTTGGCATAATGGCCCGTCTCGCTTTCCTATTCTTGGAGAAACGGGCTGCACCTCCATCAGCCATTCGTAAAGGACAGGAAGACTGGCCGCGGGCCAACCACTGCGAGCTGTTTTTCCACACCATTTTCAATTATTATGGACTGGCCATTCCTAATGAAAGGCATTACCATCTTGGTGTCTACCATTTCTGCTGGATGGAGATGGTGCGGCTACTTCAAGTCAAACAAAGCAAAATTAAAGACAGACGCCACTCACTGCCCCCTCGCCACAGGCCAACCGCTTGTCCTCAGGGAGTGGGCAGCACATGGCTGCTATGGCCACCATCTTCCTGGTGAGGTCGATCAGCTCAGCTGAGCTCAGCTGAGGGGCTTTCCTCGTGTACGAAATGAGGATCCTGAAAGAAGCATGGCCCACTGAGTCAGTCATGAGACTTTTAGACTCCTGGCTCCTTCCCAAAGACCCTCTCTAGTGCCAGAAGACATGAAGCATTTGGACCCATGTTTGTGGACTGTATTTATCATGACAGCACTCTCTATACACCTATCTTCCCTTATCAACACTGAAAGGCAAATGCTGCAGAAGGCCAATTTTTCTTTTTTTCTTTTTCTTTTTTTTGCTTATGTGGTGCTGAGGAATCGAACCCAGGGCCTCAGGCATGCAAGGCAAGTGCTCTACCACTGAGCCACGTTCCCAGCCCCAGAAGGCCAATGTTTCTTTCCGATCTGTGAGCTCTTTGCTGTTCTGACTTGGACAAGCTCTGGCAGAATAGGTAATGTGACTGTGAAAAATTTTCAGGGCTAGGGACTCTGAAGCCAGTTCTAAGGCACAAATTTTACAGGCTGTTATTCTTGCTTACACTGAGAGAAATGGTGAAGGCCCCTTCGCTTGGGGGATCTGGGTAATGTGGTTTATTTATACTGACTTTATTGCAAAATTGGCAGTGAGGTTGGAGCTAAGGATCACTAATTTAGGTTCACATGCTTTCATGTGTTCGTCATTTTAAATCACTGAAAATGTCACACACAGAAAAGAACATACTCATTTTGAAAGTAATAGTCTCCTAGTTTCTGGAAGAGGCCACAGCTTTGTTTCGCCAATGCTTGAGTCTCCTGTACGTATTTCTGCAATTCTTCTTCCTGAAAGTACAAGCATTATGACGGATTGTTTTTCTCTCTTCCAAGACATGTTCACTTTGTTTACAGCATTATCCAGGCTTTTATTGTATTATGAAGCCCAACTTTAGCAGTTTTTAAATATTAAGATGGTAAAGCTGAATTTCAAGATTAAGGTGAATGAACTATGGAGAGAGGTGAGTGAAAACATGAATCACAAATCATTGAGAGCAGGATTCAGTCTTCAGATAAAGGATGATAGTTCTTTCTGTATGAAATTCTTACCTTTCTGGAGATAACCAAAAGTAATTTGTATCTTTATTTTGAGAATCAAACAAATTTAGCTTATATTTTATATCCTAAGGAAGTTATTTATTTCTGACTACTAGCTAATTAGTATTTAATAACTAGAATACAGGCTCTTAAATAAATAGCTAGTTACTAATTTATAACTAGATACTCTGTGTGTATGTGTGTGTGCATGTGTGTGTGTGTGTGTGTGTGTGTGTGTGTGTGTGTGTGTGTATACCAGTCCTTGGGCTTAAACTTGAGGTCTGGGTGTTGTCCCTGAGCTTTCTTTTTTTTCCTCAAGGCTAACACACTACCACTTGAGACTTGAGCCACAGCTCCACTTCTGACTTTCTGGTGGTTAATCAAATATGAGTCTCATGGACTTTCCTGCCCAGGATGGCTTCAGACTGCGATCCTCAGATCTCACCCTCCTGAGTTGCTAGGATTACAGACAAATGCCACAGATACCTGGCTAACTAGATGCTATTAAGCACACAGTATATTTAATAATATCTTATCAATCCAGTCTTTTTTGGCATTACTAAGACCCAGGGTCTCTCAAGTAGCTGCTCTACCACTAGAACCACACTCCAATCCTCAGTCAGTTTTTGAGATTCTGTCTAAAATTCTAGAGGAACTTACTCCCTTGTCCTGACATTCAAGAGGGTTTTCAGTCTGGAAACACTTCTCTACCACTTCCTTGTATCCTGTAGCAACTCTTAGAATTACTGGAACAGGAAGATTGGTATGTCTTCGTGAATATTCATGAAGAAAGCTAAAATATGGAGAGAAAATATCATAGGTTATTGTAATTAAGACAAAATGAAACCATTTCTCCCACAATCATTCTTCTATAATAAACATAAGTAAAAGATAAAGTAAACAAAGCTGGAAATCAAACACAATTCAAATTCTATGAGTGACAAAACTATTCATTCAAACAACAATCCCTCAAATTGTCCTATAAACTGGTGGTTTATTTTCTTTTGCATCTCACTTTGGATTTTTCATTATGGGATTCAACAAATGTGTTTTTCATCTTTGCCTATTTTCTCTCTGATTATTGTAAGCAAGAAGAAGCCATTATTGTAGCAGATACAATGCCTGCCCAGTCACAAGTATGTTACAGGGAACAAGAAACAAGTAAACAAGAAAACAATCATCACTGTCATCTAGTGACAAATTAATGGAGAGAAGTCAAGAAGGATGGAAGAGAGAAAAAGAAGGGATACCCGAAGTGAATGGGCCACTAATTTACCACATAGTCAAGAAAAGCTTCTCTGGCAGCCAATGCAAGACAGAGAGCTGAATAAAGCAAAGTACAAGTATTTGGGAAAGATCATTCTCCGCTGAGAAAATTCCCCCTGCAAATATACTTTGCAAATAATCAACTTAGATGTTTTTGTATGTATAAACTAAGGACAACCCTTACATTTACATACCAGGTTATACATCAGTCATGTCAAAGTGTCTTGAGGGGTTTCTTAAATCTGATCTGTGTTCTAGTTTGCATAATTTCATTTAGCAGGCAAATAATGTGTTCATGTTTAATTTTAACACAACAAGAGTATTATCTCCAGAGGATATTAGAAAGGAAATGGAATCATTATTATCCTTGCTGCATTAGAATAAGACTTAAATTTAGAAAGATCCTTAGAAATTGTAAGCATAATGCCTTAAGAGCATACAGGTCCCTGTAGACACATACAATAAAGAAAAATGCACTAACTTGACTGCTTACTTTCCATAAGGCAAATAGAATGAGAAGATGCCCATTAATTATAATACATCGATATTTTAAAAATGTCTCTAAACATGTTTAGAATTTCTTAAGAAAACATTCATTAAACAAATAACAAAATGTTCTAATAAAAAGCCTGTTGAGCATTATTTGTTGAATTATGTTTTGGGGAAACTTTTTAAATATACAAAGTAATCATCGGCACCTTTTATTAGAAAAATAACCACATCTTAACTGAAAGCGCAATAGTGGCCTTCATACAAGCAATTCATTCAGAATGATAATGTGTCTCTTTCCACAAAAAGGTATATAAAATAAAATAGCAAGCCTTTAGTAACAGTAATGGTCAGAGCCTTGAACCTTATGAGATAGATCCGACTCCCTATTGCCCAGTTAGCTGCTTGCATTTATTTTTGGCTCAGAAGATCTTGCCTCGTATCCTCAGATAGTAAGCCATCACTCTGCATTTCAACAAAGCAAAGCTGTCAGCTACATAAAACCTTTTCTTGTGTGAACATACATTTACAGGCTGTGTTACCTTGCCAAAAACATGTTTTTCTCCTCTGAAGAAAATTGGCTGAAATCTCTATCTCCTAAAAATCTGTTTAGATTTGAAGATAGATCTTCAGGCTTGTCATCGTTTTCTGCATGAATTATGCAATGACCAAGTTCAAGCACGGGTAACTTGCAGCACTCTGCTATTTTGTTTGATAGAATATCTTCTTGGGAACATAAATATGACATAATTTTTTCCTGTAACAGGAGAAAACAGAAGTCTTAATAGGTTTGAAACTTGTCACAACTGGTTTCAGGAAAGAAAGAAGCAAAGCAGAAAGGGAGGGAGAGAGAGGAAAAGGAAAGAATAAAGCAGTCATTTTACTTTGCCTCTCATGTTTTCGCCTCCTTTTTACTAAACCCTAGTCTTTATTGAAATAAGAAGGTTTCAAGACAAAAGAAAAATGTCTTACATTTCTAATCCAAAGGGTCTTTTCTCTATTAATGTTCAAATTTGCCCCTGGGTAACATGTGACTCTAGAGAACAAACTGGTGCCATCTTAATCATAACAACCTGCAGTGCTCTAGTGTGCCCACTAGAGGGTAGTCTACAGACTACAACCACTGTAGTCAGGGAGAAGCAGAGTTTTCATAACCTCTCACGGGAATTCAATTCTGGGCATTGTCAGCAAGATAATGAGAATTCACTATTCCACTGTTAAAGCCAAGTACATGTAACATATTGAAATCATTTTTGTCCATTTTAAATGAAAAACAGTGACCTCAAACTCCAAAATTCTTAAACACATCCATTTCTTGCAGACAACATCAGCCAAGTCGCCATGACAGTGATCGAAGTGAACAATTTTATCTTTCTGGTCAGTCTCCTGGAAACCACATTCCAGCTCAGGCTTTCCAGCAATCTGATCGTCTAAGAGCAATGAATTTAAGTCTCCTTAGAGATGAGGAAGGATTATGAGTAGGGAGGGAGTAACTTGGGGTAGTCAAGCTTCTTGTATAATATGTAGGAACACTGGTTCAGAATAACCATACCACCTCCATCACCACAGACTATGATGCACTGAAGATCTAGTGCTTTTTAGTTTTGTTAATCTTATAGTTCCCTTTATTCACACTTTCCTTTAGTGTACCTAGCTTTCTAACTCCTGTGTTTTCTCTGTTGCATTCATTGATTCAGCAAAGTGTAAGAGAAAGTCTTCCATGCCAAGCCTGATCCTATTAGAGATAAAAGTAAGCAAAAGACAGCCCCTAACTTCAAAAAGGCCATTGTCATATTCCCATCAGACTTGAAATCAGCTTATACCTTTATAAAGCAGTGACCATTACTACTACAACCAATCAATAAAACATCCCCAAAATGTGTTTGTCCAATGAAGAAATAAATGGATGAGAAAACAAATATAGTAAAAGTAACACACACACACACACACTTGTCTTAGAAAACCATCTGTAAAGCCTCCTGAGAGGTTCCACCTTGTTTTAGAAAGAAATGGATGTGATCCTGCCTCCTGCTTAGACATTTTCACCATCAAGGTGAAAATCAGCATCAAAATAAGAATGTAAGTTCTACTCTCAAGAAGTCTGTAAGCTCATTTGATCACCTAATTACTATCACTTTTGACAAGTCAAGCCCAAATGACTTTTCCTTTAGAATGAAATGAAGAAAGAGGAATTAAAGGAGAGATCTCTTTTAGGAAGGACAACTCCTTACCCCATCCTGCAGACACTCCAACACGTCTCCTCTGCAACATTCCCCGTGTATGTGAGCCACATCCAGGACCAATTTCTGAATTTCAGTAAAATTTGCTTTGGGAAATTTTTGACTCAGCTTAATAGTAATGCTGTGGGGACAAGAGAGGTAAGAATTTAAAAATTGAACTTGGCTGGTCTATCAAAATCAATAGTAGCCAGACACCAGTGGCTCAGCCCTGTAATCTTAGCTACCCAGGAGGCTGAGATCTAAGGATAACAGTTCAAAACCAGCCCAGCTAGGAAAGTTCGTGAGACTCATACCTCCAATTAACCACCAGAAAGCTAGAAGTGGAGCTATGGTTCAAAGTAGCAGAGCACTAGCCTTGAGCTGAAGAGCTCAGGGACAGTGCCCAGGCACAGAGTTCAAGTCCCACAACATACAAAAAAATCAAATAGTATATAAAATATCATTACAGTTAAAATTCCAAAGAGAAAGAACTGAAATACATTGTTATCTAAAAAGAAAAGGACACAGGATTTCATTTTGTCAACCTCAGTTCAATTTTACAAGCCAGTAGCTCTGCAAATTGTGATTTGCCTCACTAAAAGAAAATTGGTTTGGAGGTAATTTATCTTTTCCTAAAACCTTTCTTAGGAACCAGAATGAACTTCATCTTTGTTATTCAACCCTGATGCTGAACATTTGAGATCACTGTAGTAAATGGGCAGGAATAGAAGAATTAAGAAATGGAAATTTCCATAAGAGAGGATACATGTTTTTCATGAGAAAGAGAGAGGGAAAAAAAGAGAGAAAGAGAGAGAGAGAAAGAGAGAGAGTTTTCTGAGAAAACAAATTACAAATTAATGGAGTGATTTGGCTGAACATTGAAGACAAATCCTTGGCCAAATCCATGCAGTATGGCCAAGAATGGAAGTAAAAAATAAAAATGCTGAGAGTTTTTGCATATTTCATTACGTTTTAAGAAATATCTGGGTAAAAATACTGTTCTCTTAGGCAAAAGGTGATGTTGCTGCTCCTGATGAAGAATGGATTTCCTTTATCAATGTGCAGCACATCACCTAACCTTCCAGATCAATTGTAAAGTCACTATAATCACATGTAAATATCCTTTATTTCTAAGACAAGTTTCAATAGAGCAATATGTGACTCCGTCTTTAAATGTCTAATAGAATTGAATGGATCTGAGGGGAACAATCTGACCTCTTTGAAAAAGCCATTTTAGTCTTTGGAACTAACTCTACCACTAAAAATTATCATCTAGGTTTTCCTGCGTGCAATACTCTGTGATATGTCATTTAAAAATAAGTCAAGACTTGTTTTCTATTCAACTAAGAGCTCGGATGTTTTGCTATACTAGAAATATTTCATTTAAATTGAGTTAAAGAGTACTTTACTTTCTTGCCATTTGGTATGATGCTAGCTGTAAGGTTTGGCATAAACAGCCTTTATTATGTGAGAAATATTTCCTGTTGGATTTTGTCAAAAGGCTTTTTCTGCATCTATTGATATGATCATGTGATTCTTGACTTTGGTTCTGTTAATGTGCTGTATTGTATTTTATTGATTTATGTGCATTGAGCCAGCCTCTCTGGGATAAATCTGGATTGGGATTGAGTTGGGAAGGATACGAGAGAGAAATGAAAGGGGCGACATCAATTGATACGTGTTGTCCTTACAGGATCTGGTGAATGGTAACTCCTTTGTACAATTAAAGTTAATAAAATACAATTTTGTAAAAGATTATCTTAAACCGGTTATGAAATTAAAGTTTTCCTTTTCACCTAACATCGGATTCCAATATTATGACCTCAAGGGAATGAATGAATAGAAAGCACCAACATAATTAATATTTCTTGTGAAGTCACAAATTTCAATAATTATGGGGAACTATTGATCTGCTTTGTAGAGGAGCCAGGAAAACATAAGTCTACCGAGGAGATACGATTTGGTTATAGGTACTTAGGTGTCTGGGAGAATTGGCAATTGTTACAAATCTTAAAATTCTCCTGTAAGTATTATGTCAGTGAGATTTGCATGGCTTTTGGCCGTACTGAGTTTTGAACTAAAGCCCTCAAGCTGTCTCGGCACGTGCTTTACCATGTAAGCCATGCCCACAGCCACAGCCAGTTATCCCAAGTGCTACCTTCACAGTTCTCTCTTCTTGTCCTGAGTTTTCATGACTCTAATCACAAGCGTCCTCTTCAAAAGTGTCTTCATTTACAGCAGCAACAATAAGAAAAACAAACTTGAAGTGCAAAATAGCAGCTCTACACATCCCCAGTGTCTCTCCAGACAGAGCCTAAACTTACATTTCTTGGAGGGTTTGGGGCCCGTCATGCTTCATGACTGCACATATGTGCTGATTTAACAAGCTGCTTTCTCTTAATTCTTTGTTAATGGATGCAGTCTAGATGAGAAAGAAAAGATGTTATAGGAAGGCTTTACTTTCTTTTGTCAGCTCCAGTCACTAGAAAAACAGGTATAGGACATGAAATTCTAAAAGATGTTTTTAACTAAAATAGTTAATGCCATACATTTTTACACATCTACTCATTTACTTGTTTAGTTTCTATATATCCATGCTAGAGAATTATTAAAAGCTGCTCTACACAGAAACATTCTAATTTTGATATGGGGGGGGGGTCACAAAAGAACAATCAAGCTTTTATGCAGCTGTAAAGAGATGCAATTTTCTAGATTCTGCTCAGTTACAAACAAGCAAACAAACATACAAGATTGAACCCTCGCCAGGCGCTGAGAAGGTACAATCCTTAGCAAATTCCTAGGAACTTTGGTGGCAGAAAGGTTAGTTGTAGATATTATTCTGTCTCTGCAAACCTTAGAATGATGTTGTCTTGTGTGTAAAATTACAATAATGCACCTCAAATTTATTCTACGGACAAAAGGCATAATGAATATAAAACTTGCTTCACAACTCTCATTCGCCTTTCTCTCCTGCTCCTTCTTGCTCCCATTTTCTTTCTCCTCTTCCTTCTCTCTCCTCCTTCATCACATTATCATCTCTTCATCTATCTATGTTTCTTCATCTCAACAAATTTCACATCCTTAATAATATTTCTGACTGACTGGATAGATGGATGAATAACAACAAATCTATGTTTCACACACCTAGCGCTATGCCAGAGACAGCTCTATTGGGAAAATGATACCTGGAAGCCCATTTCCCCCTTTTAACTCTTGGTTTTCACAGACCATCGTAGCACCACACATTAATTCAGAGATTCACACACAGACATTACCTTTGTTTGAAAGCATTCGGCTGCGTTTTCGGCTTTGCAGCACAGGGGCATTATTTTGGCATAACGAGCAGCTGAAGAAAGAACAGTAGGAGAGTACAGGAAGGGGTGACTTCTGGAGACGTCATAGATGTACCTGTAAAATTAACAGAACCCGAAGATTTACAAAAGCACAAAAAGCAGGACTAGTGGGGCTGGGAAGGTGGCTCAGTGGTAGAGCACTTGCCTTGTATGCATGAGGCCCTGGGTTCGATTCCCCAGCACCACATAAGCAAAAAGAAAAAAGCCGGAAGTGGCACTGTGTCTCAAGTGGTAGAGCACTAGCCTTGAGCTGAAGAGCTGAGGGACAGCACCCAGGCCCAGAGTTCAGACCCCACGACCAGACCCCCCCCCAAAAAAAAGGACTAGTGTTATTGAACTGATGATGCTGGAATTGGCTAAAAGACTCACGTTTATGGCAACAGTCACACTTGGCACTGGTGGCTCATGCTTCCTTACTACTCAGGAGGCTGGGATCAGAGGATCACAGGCCAATGCAAGCCCAGGCAGAAAGTCTTTGAGACTCTTATTTTCCAAGTAGCCAGCAAAAAAAAAAAAAAAAAAAAAGCCAGAAATGGAAGCGTGGCTCAAATGATCAAGAGCCAGACTTGAGCTAAAAAGCCTCCCCCCCTAAAAAAAAAAGCAAAAAACCTTTTTCCAATTAAAAAAAAAAATTAAACACACCAGCAACCAAATGCATTGAGTTGTGCTTTGAGAAGAAAACTATCATTTTTCTTTTCAGATACTGTCAAAAATGTTTTCTCATTCAGATGCTCAGAGAAAGACTTAACCGGTAATACCAAATTCTACTACAAAAACAGATACCAGATCCTATTACAAAAACAAATAGGTAGAAATGCTATAAATCTTAAGAAAGTCCTGGGCTTGAAATCAAGACCTGGGCACTGTCCCTGAGCTTATTTTTTGTTGTTGTTGTTCATTCTCCCACTTTCTCATTGTGTATTATGCATGTCAACTGAAACTTGGATCTCTGTTTATTTGTTTAGTTACAGACAATTTGAGCTGCAGCTCAACTTTTTTTTTTGGCTGGTTGATTGGAGATAAGAGTCTCAAGGACTTTCCTGCCCTGGCTGGCTTCAACTATCAATCCTCAGATCTCGGCCCCAGATCTAGCTAGGATTACAGACTTGAGCCATCAGCGCCTGGTTCTTAATAAAATCTTTTAATAAGACTTTTGGCTAAGTCTACTCAGATATGTTTGAAGAATAAGCAAAGGGAGATCTCTGCCAAGTAAGGCAGGAAATCTGGCACCTTGGAACTCTCCACAGCAGGGAGATGGCACATTTTCTCTGTGTCAGGCAGTAACTTGGAATTCGGACACAAAATGAAACCGACTTCCCAACAATGGGCTCAAATGTAAGCAACGTGCCCTTCACCCACCATCTTAACTTGCTGTAACTCCCTCATCACCAAAACAGGCAAAGGACCAAGAAGGAAGGAGAGAAAAGCAGCATTGAGGCTGTGGACAATAACCATTCCTGTATTAACTCTAACTTGGATCTTTTGTTTGTTTAATTACAGGCAATTTAGTAAATATGGTACAGGGATAGTTGACTGGAAGGAGTCTGTGTAATAGTAGCATAGTCCTAGACAAGACAGAATTAAGATTTGCCGAGGGGAGGGAGGGAGGGGGTGAGGAAGAGGGGACAGATCTAGGGCTATGATTCTAACAGAGCACTGGGAAGGGATTTCCTTAATACCTTGTTCACGCTTCAATGCATTCCCCTATAGTCAATCCTACTTCACACAGTGAACTATATCTGTGTGGATTGCAGAAATCGCAGCTTCTGCGTGGTACGGACGGTCCCTCTGTGTGTTTCCTTTACCTGTTTATGAACGTCTCTTTGTTTTCTTCATATGCTTGGCAAATCCTCTTGGGGTCTGGACCCGGGAAGGGTGTAATGGACGCTGGAGCAGCCCTTTTGTGCGCCAGAAAACATTTATGTCTTTCCTCTCCACTTTGCTTGCAGCAGTCTGAAAGCCCAGACTTTTCAGAAATTTCCTCCTCGTGGCAAATTTCATCCATAAAGGCAAACAGCTATAAGAAAGATTTTTCTTTTTAATGAAAGGCAACTAACTTCATCAAAACTCAAGGAAACGCTTCCCCAAATAGCCCCAATCAGAACCCCAGATTAAAAGAAAATTCCGCACACAAATTTCAATACAGTTTCTATCTAATGAAATCTTTCTTTACTATCTTCTGGGAAATGGAAATTTAATTTCCAAACTTCAGTAAAACACATGGCTAATAGACAAAATCATTTTATTTTAAAAAACGATGGACCGTGGAATATGTTTGCCTCATCCCCTGAATTTTACATTACATTTTCTTTTTCTCTTTTCTGTAATTAATAGTTTAGTCCCAGAATATATACGGTGTCCCTTTTATATAATTGTGTTTCAGAAATTGATATTTATTCCATGTGGCCTTCTTATGACCTGGCAGTGATCTAAAAATCAGATATTATTTTCAGTTAAAAGTTAGTTCAAAGCAGAATTCACATAGAAGCATTAGTCATAGCTACAGATTTAGCTGGAATGTTCTGTAGAGCACATTCTTTCTGCTCTGGTGTGTTCATTTTACCAAAGTCAGATGACATGACCTGTCTACAGAAGAACGCCTCTGAGACAACTGCTCCAGTGATCTCAGGAAACATTTAATTTAGCTCTTACAACTACTAATATTTAAAAAATCTTGTAAATCTTTTTTTTTTAGTTTTTGTCGGTTATGGGGCTTGAACTCTGGGCCTGAGTGCTGTCCCTGAGCTCTTCAGCTTAACATGAGATTGAAACCATAATTAAATATGAAGTTGTAATAGGAAGAACATTTTTGGATCAGTTGTACACGCAGGTTTTTGTTTGTTTTTTGTTGGTTGTAGGGCTTGAACTCTGGGCCTGGGTACTGTTTCTGCACGCTTCAGCTCAAGTTGAGTGCTCTACTGCTTGAGCCACAACGCCACTTCCAGTTTTCTGGTGGTTTATTGGAGATAGGAGTCTCATGGACTTTCCTGTCCCAGCTCCCTTTGAACCACGATCCTTAGATCCCAGCCTCTTGAGTAGGCATGAGCCACCAGCACCAGCATTACATACAGTTTTTACAAGATTATCAAGACAAATCAAAAATAAAGATTGCAGAACAGAGTGTCTGATGAATTCCTAAGTAATAATTATTTCTCAGAATTGTGAAGTAATTTGTACATTTGAAGGGTATCTCCCACACAATGCTCCTGCTATACTGCCTGTTAACCCTTTCAAACCAGCCATGACACAGGATTCTTTAGGCATATTGTCCCATGCTTGGATATATCTAATCAAATCAAAGTTTATTTCTACATTGAGAAAGAATAAAGAGATCTACTTAACTTCTACATGGGGGTAACTTAATACAGTATAAAAGTCATCAAAAATAAACTGAATCAGGAGGGAAAAAACTGGGATAGAATGAGGGAGGGAGGTAACACTGTTCAAAAGGAAATGTATTCATTAGCTGACTTAACTGTAACCCTCTGTACGTCACCTTTACAATAACATTTTTTAACTGGATTGAGTCTTATATTTGTATGTCATTGTTAGCCTTCTAAATCTGGCAATACTAATTTTGTGCTGTGGACCTCATATTTACTATTGCACAGTATGTAATATAATAAATCTACCAAAGGATGTTAGTGCTGGAGCCAGGTAGCCTAATTTAAATGCTGGCTCTGGCATTTTGTGGTTTTTTTCAAGGAATTTACTAAATTACTCTGTACCTCAGCTTCTTTGACTGGAAAATTATCATCAGTTTCCTAGGATTATTATAAAAGTTTAATTTGAAGACAAAGATGATATGCTACAAATAAGCTTCAGCCAAGGTCTCTTGGCTCATTGAAAAACTATTCTGAGCCATCCACACTTTCCTATAAGATATTTTGAGTATTAATATGTTTATAGCACTCCCCAGAATAAGGTGAACCATATTGTGTGCATAATAAAAATTACCCACTATTCTTTTTTCTTTTTTCCTACTATTCTTATAAATTAATCTTCATGACAATTGTCTCTTCTGTTGTAAATAAGGAACCAAAAGTTCAGAGAAGATAAATAATATGCCTATGGTCACTCAGATTGCATAACCTAGCCTCTATTTTTATGTAGCTTCTTTACAATACTCACTCATGTATTGATCCTGACACCAAATCCATCCAAACCTTTTCCATGACAGGCTTGTGTTACAAGGCTTTGTGTTATTCACTTACCGGGCTTTCTAAACACCCCTCAGGCTGCTCACTGTCAGTGGGTTTCTTAATTACCGTCAATACATCAGTTACCATTTTACTGACTTCTTCATAAGTGGCTTTTTCGACAAACTGGGCCAAAAATATGGTAGCTCTGGAAAAAAGCATGCAAATGATTAAGAAATAGTTTGATATAAATCTTATTTTCTCAAGTACCAAATTCTTTGGGAGGGGGTTGTTTTGTTGCTTTGACTATATTTTCTGTTTATGACCTGATCTATTTGGAAGATGATCATATATATTTTTAGTCACCAAAAAGAAATGTTGAGGTTTTGTCTATTTGTTTGTCATCTTCTCCACAAATAGACACAGAGTTATTGAAAGGCAAAGTAACTGCAATTTCCATAAGTGTGTCTTTTATGATCACCCACTCACTATGTACATCTGTAATTGAGGGAAGCTACGTTCTTTTCAGTTTTCCTTGTTAAAAAAATACAGTCTTTAGATCTCTGCTTACGTCTGGCCCCAGAATATCCAAAGTCCGTTTCAAAACCCTGTTTTCAAGCAGAGAAATTTCAGAAGTGTGGAATGGAGAGACAACATTCAAGAGGATAATGTATTTTCCACAAAGAACAAAACATGGGATATTTTACCTCCTATGATTTATGACTAAGATTTAAATAGTATGCAAAGAAAGAACTTCATAACATCATTCTAATGGAATAATTCCTGAACTCACACATAGTTGTTACTAAACAAAATCTAATGTTTAGAGCTAAAACTCTTATTTGGGTGACATGGTTCAAAAAGAAATGTACTCATTAGCTGACTTATGTAACTGCAACCCCTCTGTACACCACTTCTACCATAACAATAAAATGTATTTTTTAATCTGACTTGATTTGCTTCATGGAATTCCAAGTAATGTAAATATTAATACCCACAGAATTTGTTAATGCTCATCTCTTCAGCATCAATTTGGTATTCAGAAGAGATAACTTTCCTTGGAATTGTCTAATTTGCTTCTGTAATTTAATAAATCATAGGGACATTCAATTTTGTTTAATTATTTAAATAAAATCTTTGCTTTGCATATTTAAAGTGCATATATAACAAGCAAAACTTACAGGTTAACTAAATTCTTCTTTGAAGAACACTGAGAAGAATCTAATGTGGAATCTGGAAAACAAAAAGACTAATGAGAAGTGATGCATTCAATTGCAGCCTAAAGAGTCATCTTCATCTGTTTCGTATTTAAATCAAAGCTATATGATTTTAGAACTGAGAGACTATTTACTTGAGAAAACTAGGAAACAATGAATAATTTGCAGTAGACCTAAAATTCTGTACTGTAATGCTGTCATTGGCTTATTTCAGTCATCTTTTGAACATCATTACATCATAGATTGCTCATTTATGAAGCAAACACTACTGCTTCTTCAGATAGCAAACAATGAGCTCCTTTCTGAATTAAGAATAAATAATATGTCATCATTTACTTTGCTAGTTTAGAGAAGGAGCCAGGATATATATATAAATATATATGTAAATTGCATGTAAATTAATATGCATAAATTAATACAGCAAACCCAATTTTTTGTTATATTAAGCTCCGCTACGATTTTCTGAACCTCTTATAAAATTGCATCTTTCATTTAAATATGTTCATAAGTTAATTCTTTTTCCTGTGTGGAACACTAAATATAAAATAGGTATCAAGATAAATAAAGAAAAGCCAATTAAAGTATTATAATGCACAGAAATTTTAAAAAGAAAATACCAAAGTGTCTCACCTTTTCCATAAGCATTTCTATGCAGTGTTTTGGATTCACTCAAACTGAGTAGGGAAATCAAAAGGATTGGTATCGCGTACTTCATGGTGGCTAGTTCTTTCATTGGTGGTGGTGGCTGTGGTAGGGGATGCTGAAAGTTAGACTGAACTTCTTTTATACTCTTCACAAGCAATGGCGTTATCTAGTAACTTTTTGTTGGCATATGTATTACTTTATTCCATATGTTGAAACCGGGACAGTTTGCCAATAATTAACAGCACAGGGATTACTTTTATTTTGTGCTCAAGGCCACAGATCTGTTCAGGTTGGAAAAGGTTTAAAAAAAAAACCTTATGAATTCATTCTATTTTGCAAATGAATATTCTTCTCAAACCACAAAGTATTCAAACATGAGTGTTCCCCTACATAGCAAAATAATTCCATTCCAAGGAAAAAAATCAATATGACTGTAGAGAAGAAAAGCTCAGACTTAATTCAATAACATACATGAACTTTAAAACTATTAATTCAATCTTTTCCTATGTCAGATGTTGAGCACATTGTTTGCTCAATTCAGACTTACTAAAAATACATTTCTTCATCCTCATGTCATTACTGTACTGTACAACAAAGTATACTTTAAAGTATTTACGACAGTATACTGTTCAACAAAAAATTTGGAGCAGAGCCCTGATGAACCAAGTCCTGTAATAGTTTTATTGCTGATTAGTGATTTTGTGTGTGTCAGAGGTCAGGGGCTCAGCATCACTGTGTACTGAGCATCTCTAGAGAATTACATTGATACTATAGAGTGCACTGATACACTCTTGATTCTAGGGCTGGTTCATCTCATAACATCCCTTCCTGTAGAGGTGCTCAATCTTAGCTACACATTAGAATTATTGGGGGAAATTATCAAATTCCTGTTGCCTAAACTGATATCCAGACCAATTAATTAAACCAGACTTAGTGGAGTAGAGTCTCAGGTGTCATGTCAATACTTTTTAATAGCTTTACAGGTGAGTCATTATTCTAAAAGAAAGATTATAAAGCCAAACGACCTATAAAACATAGATGGAAATAAATATGTTGTTTTCATCCAAGTACAGTGACAGACAGTCATCTAAAAATTGGGGGGAATAATATTTAATGAGATGAAAAGATCTTTGTAACATACTAGAATAAGGGGTCCTCATTACTAGACCAATAAAGTGCATGTTTATAATTTGTAGTTTTTGTTCATTTTCTGCTAGGTATGGATAGCCTGAGGCACAGCAAGCTCCCTCATTATCCCTGCAGGCCAATATTTCTCAAGTTCATGAAAACAAGCATATTAGTTATGAAGAAATAACTAAAAGTCAAAAGGCAACTAATTTTGCAGTTTCAGTTATGAAACAAGCTATATGCAATTTGGATAAGCACAGGAAATAATATGCCAAAGCCTTGAAAGGATTGTAACTTTAAAATTCTGTTTCATTTTTCCTGATAGTCAATGCATAATCTACAAGGCTGGATAATCTCATTTCATCATGTTTAAAAAAAAATTCAAAGGAAGCCAGGCAATGGTGGCATATGCCTATAATCCTAGCTACTTGGGAAGCTGAGATCTGAGGACCAGGGTCCATGAGACACCTATCTTCAATTAACTAACAAAAAAGCCAGAAGTGGAGCTGTGGCTCAAGTAGTAGAGCACTAGCCTTGAGCAAAGGAAGAAAGAAAGAAAGAAAGAAAGAAAGAAAGAAAGGAAGGAAGGAAGGAAGGAAGGAAGGAAAGAAAGAAAGAAAGAAAGAAAGAAAGAAAGAAA